CCCCGTGCGTCGAAGTGATCACTCCGCCTTCCGACGGAGAGGCGCGTGAAGCCTGAAACAGAAACAATAAGGCTCAAGGAAATGTCATATTAAACCTTCTACGAAAGAACAACTCCTAATCTCCAGTTCAAATTCATAGGAATAAGTAATATTTCTTATTTAACTCGACATAAACGTACGCTAGAGCCCCGAGCGCGTCCACGAGCAGAGATGCGCCGGCGCAAATCTTCTCTTAATAAACTTTTTAGCGGTGACACCTTGATCAGAGATGACAGACTCGAGGATACGCCTCGTTTATCGCCCCCATTTGTTTCGCCTTCCCGCATTTCATTATTAGCAGACTCTTCTTGAGCGTTGGGTTCCTGGAAAATTGGAAACAAAATATGCTAAGTATACAGCTCTAAAACTAGTTTTGGTATCTTGAAATTGAGTACTAGAAAATAAAAGGTGAAAAATAATTTTACCTGTTTTATGGGTATCAAAGTAATGGACGGAGTTATATTTGTAGGTAGTCCAGCTGATAGGGAGCTGCTAGCGATGGCGCTGTCACCAGATTGAGGTGAGCTGGGTCCTTCGCCGTTCATGCGCGAATCTAAAATCAAACGTTATATATACATAAGGTGATATGATACATAACTCATTGTAAAATAATAAGATTCAGATTGACAGAATAAAAGGAATCGGAAATGAAACTGAAGTTTATCAACAATACAAGCTAGAATATTAATAATATTCTGTAGCCCAAGGGCAATATTTGCTCCCACATTATTATTACATAACAACACAGTGTTACTTTCAGGTTAATATGTGTTGGCCTACAATTCTCGAGGTTGGAGAGAAAACTGGTCGCATGTGTCATCAGGCTTGCAGACAAGTGTCCCAGTAATGTAAAATATAAGATAAGACCTTTTGTCTATTTTTGTAACAGTTATGTAGAGTAAATTGTATTATTAATACTATAACAATATTTCACAAATAATAGAAGGCTAAGTATTGTGTGCCTTGTGCTTATTCTTTGCAATGGTTAGATTACCAATAAAGGCAAAGGTTGATAAATATTCGTAATTCATGAAGATAACTAATTCAAGAACATTTCATTTAGTAAAAGAAAATATGTTTAATTAAAATCACAATTACCAGAGTTGCCTAAATGGTTTTGGCCGGGAGAGAAGGTTTCGTTATTGTCGGCCATAGAAATCTCAACATGTGGGGTCAAGTAGTGCATGGGTGGTGTTGCATTGTCCACAGAGCGAGCACCATTACTTTCTCCACTGTCCGAGTATGTTGCAGCAACGGACACGGATAGGCTGGATCCCAGTGCACCAAGGGCATTGATGGCGCTGGGGTCCATTGTACCATCAGCATACGCGGCATTGGCGATACCCGCAGCTAGCAGAGATACAGAGGAGTTGTTCCCAGGTCCAGGGTTGTCCAAATCAATTCCATGTCTGAAATATATTTATAAAAATTATTAAATAAAAAACAAATATTTATTTTTTCTTTTTAAATGATGTAAAGTACAATTATCCACAACATTATAACAATAATGTAAAATAATAGCATACCTGTTAAAGAAGTGAACCCTTAGACTTTTCATGGTGGGTGCACGATAACTACACAAGGGGCAAGTTTTAACGAGGTCATGCTGTCCAACGTGTTCGTTTTGGAAATGTGCGCGCATGGCAATTTGGCGCTGGAATCCTCGGTTGCAGATTGGGCAATGATACGGCAAGCTCTTAGTATGAGTAGTGAAATGTTCTGCCAAATGATCTTTGCGGAAGAATCTTTTTTGGCAAACGCGACATTCATACGGCTTTACTCCAGTGTGCCGCATTTTATGTCTACGCATATTGGCGCCATTTGAAAACTTCATGTTGCACACATCGCATTCAAATAGCTTTCTGTGTGGCCGGGGATCAGCATTTTGTGCAGCTGCCACATTATTGTTGTCAGGGGAACATTGGGCCATGTGGGTGGTTAGGGCTCGACTACTTAAGGTACTAAAACTATTGCATGTGGTACATTTTAATAATGTACCACCTCTTTTTGGAGTTTCTTTGCTGTTGGTGGCCACCTGAAAAAAAAAAACAACAACATAAGCAATTTGATGTCTTCCATTCTGCTACATCAGCCCCCAAAATATGTAAAATATCTAATGTTTTCTTTAAGAAGATCATGTGTAGGATCTTTCAATACATAAACAATACTGTATTTTAATGTGCATAAGTTGTAAACAAAGGTAGTGGTGTACACAATACAAGACAATAATAGCAAAGTACTGATTTAAATCACATGATGCCTACACATCTAAAGATTGTAGACATCAGTTAGTTTATTTTCCTCATGTATTAATATTAGAAATCTGAAAATCAAAGCTTAAGAATACATTTAGAAGAATAATGTTTAGAAAACTAGCTCCAAATTAGAAAGTGAAGCAAGAATTTTTTGATTAAATTCCCAGTTAGAATTACACCTAAACGGCAAAAGTAAGTTCTCACTAGAAGGTTACCTTATCAGGTAATGATAATAAGCACTACAAATAGGACAGTTGAATCATCACACTCAAAACTACCATCTCAATTTGGGTGAAAGTTAACTGATAGTCAAAGCTAATAAACATTTAGGTCACCACATCATAATAAGTGCTCCAAAACATAACCAAATAGGTTCTAGAAAGCAATAACTTGTACAAATACTATGTTAATAAATTAGAACTTTTCTTTTTATTTAAACCAATTAGGACAATTCCAAGACATATGTCGGAATACTCAAACGCTACTCAATTTTAAGTCACGCTTAAGTGTAGTTCTGTCTCTACAAATTAAAGAATTTGTAGAGTCCCCGTCATTTTACAAAGGTAAAATGACGGGGACGGCAGAATATTTAAGCATGACTTAAAATTGAGTAATGTTTTAGTATTCCGGCAACAGAAGCAAAAGTTTTACTTGTCATTTGTCTCATAATAAATAAAAAATGCATTTTAATTTTTTAATTACTGTTGACAAAAAACATGATTGATATGATAAAACTAAATTACTATCACAATCCCAGTCTCTTAACAATGTGATAGTCCCAACAAGTGTCTATTGTTGTTAACTAAAATTGTTAACTAAAATTATATCAATTTAAAAATAATTACTCTGAACAAATTAGTTAATCACATTGAATAATGTTCTCAACAAATAATATATATACTAACAAGACATCCTTGTGGAAATTACCTTTATTCCCAGATAATATTATATAACAAGTAGATTGGAATTTTGTTTGTATTAAATAAGGATAACTGATCATTAATAAGCTTAACTATGAGTTATAGTACAAACCTATATTAACATAGTAGACCAACCTTGTGAGAAACGGCAATGATTGTTATGAGAAGTCTTAATGGGAATTGATTGTGTATATTTATCAGAGTACATAAAACTTCTTATATAATAAATTCATTTAGAATGCTACAACTCAGAAAGCAACCAATGCAAAACCATTATATTTGCCATTTTGGTAATTTGCCCTACTTACATGGAGACAAGTTTTACATTGGATATTTGATTAGCTATACTTTCCCATTTAATTTAATTTAACATGCTGTTTAGTTGCAAATATAAACACTTTTTAATACTGGTTTCAACACAAAGTTTACTGGTGTAATCAATTTTTTTCCCTAATAGTCCAGCAACATTTGATAAGGAAATTTGTTGATTAATGATATTTATCCCGTAACTGATCTGGCGACACACTTTTGAAGTGAACCAGACTAGTCCAAAATTTAGATACAGTTAACAAATGAGCTTACTAACCGGTTCATTTTTGACTGCAGATAAATTTGGTGACACGGTGCCGGAGTCGGCCTCTGTTTCCCCTTTTGATGACATCACATTACCATGTAGCGAGCTTTCTGATCATCACTCTCCCGCCTTCCAAACTACGAAAACATAAACACGTCAAAACCACACATTTTAAGCTATTCGTTAACGCCAAGTAACACAAAGCACACTAATTCATGACTTGGAGAACTCTAAAACACAAAACAACTTGTTTCTCGTAAGAATGGCGAGGTGACCCATTTACGAAAACATACGAATTATCTACTCACAATATATTACTTTTTATACACTATCTATCGTATTTTATGCTTAATTTCATATTGCATGTAAAGTTTTACAAGTTCAATTGCTAATGCTCACGGTAATAAATCACAAACTCACGTTAGCTTGATACGTCGACAACCAGAACAGCGGTATTTTAGGGAGAGATCGCTATGTGGCCTAATTCAATGCTTGAGTTCGATGCACAAAATACGTGTTACGCGTATAACTGTAAATGCATAAATAAGTGGTTCCTCGGTTTACTTGTGTTATTTTGGTTTTACTATGCAATGGCAGTATTTACTATGCTCTAAGAAGGATTATTATAATGAAATTAAAAACTTTTAACCAAAACCATTTTGATAAAAAACCGAACACCTGTAAAGTGTTTTTTCTTTTCCGAGATTATTTATTCTTTTGAGTGGCAACATTAACTACTTCGTGACGTCAGAGTTCTATCGATTGTCTCTGTCATTTTCATTATTGATTGTATCTACCGTTCTCTGTTTCTCCCAAATTTTCATTTTAAAGAATTACAAGTTTAAAAAATAATAATAACCAAGATAAAATGGTTAGAAACAAGTTTTAAATTAATAATTGTTACCTACTTAAACTATAATTTCATAACAATTAAATTCAATTAAATTACAGCATTTTAATAGGGCAATAATGCCTTATTTGTTTAAAATTTGATTTACTTATAAGAAAAATTCAAAATTTTTCATGTTCCATGAAAAACTGAGAATATTTTAACTATTGTTATTTGAAGTAAAGAAAATAAAATTTCAGTGACTGAAAGGCCCATGCAAGGTATAGCAATAGGGTTGGTTGCTGAAAATAATTATATTTTCTTGACCGTCAGCTGTTTTGTTTGACGTTTGCTCCTGTGTCATCTTTCTTGCATCTTTGTCATCACTTCATTTACGTCAACTAGTTGTCACAAAATATAGAAAACAGAAACCTGCATTAATTTAACATTGTGAAATACATTCATATTGCTGTTTATTACAAGTTTATTGTTATTTTATAAATTATTATTTCACTTTAGTGTTGCTATAGGCTTCTTCATAGAGAGCTTATATGCTGAATCGAAAAACAAAAAGTGAAGAAAGTATTATGTTTGGCACGTAAATGGTACAAAATATTATCGTTTTATAATGTGTTCATCTACAATTATATCGTTTTTAAGACAGTGGAGACTTTGGATTAGGCCTTTCTTGATAGCACTGTATGTTGTATTCATTATTGTATTAGTACCCATCCTCATCGCCCATTCAATAAACAATGGATTTAAGAAGTCCGATCAAGGTTCATTGGTGGCTGGAGGGTTTGTTCTTCTTGCCGTACCCATTTCCATATGGCAAATAACACAACATGTTGTACATTATACAAAACCAATACTTCAGAAACATATTATAAGGTAAGCTATGTGTATAGTTTGTTTATTAATTATAGTAATTTAATTAAAAAAGCAAAATACAGAACATAAAATTAAAAAGTGTGAACATTTGAAAGAAACTATACTATAAAAGTAACTACTTTTTGCCAATGTAGGTACTTATTAATAACATAAACAAGTTTCATGACTAGCGATGTTAATTTAATTAAATAGTTTCCTCTAAACTAAATTGCTAATGAATGCGCATTATTTTCCAGGATATTATGGATGGTTCCAATATACGCTTTAAATGCTTGGATAGGCCTGGAATTCCCAGAACAATCAATTTATGTTGATTCTCTAAGAGAATGTTATGAAGCTTATGTAATCTATAACTTTATGAAGTATTTGTTGAACTATCTTAATGAAGATCATGACTTGGAAGCACTTTTGGAGACTAAACCACAAGTTTATCACATTTTCCCCCTTTGTTGTTTGACACCGTGGGAAATGGGAAGGTAAGAGTTACTGGATATTAGCATAATAATTTATTATAAACAATAATATCAATTTAGCAATAACACTAAGTTCAATTTCATTGTCAACCTATTTCTACTGTTAAACAAACCTTTATAAGAACATGCCACTGAGCCTAAATTGATATTTTTTAAACACTAAACTGTATTTATTTGTTTATAACAATTTGATAACTGAAGATATGATTTGATACATATCAGTCATACTTAAATATAAAAGTATTAGATAAAATGTGATAACATAGTCCATAATAAATATATTTAGAATATTCTAGATGACCTGCCTACATTTTGAAGTAGAAACTTAATGTGTTCAATAACCTTTACTTAACTAAGGGTTTGTCCAAGGTTATCTATTATACTTGACATGCTTGGTTGAATGTAAAGTTGTTATCTACAAGTTTCAAGTTTGCAGCTGTACAAGACAACTTTTATAAACAAAGATTAAAATGTGTAACATACATAATACTACTACAATAAAAACAATGAGATATTTATTATAATGGATGGAACAAATTAATGTGAAAAATATAAAAATCATACTAGACTAGCATAAGCTATTGTCCCATTGTAAAAAATTGGAATTATGTACACAGTACACCATTGCATATTACTCCATGACTTTTCTATAGAACCATCATCTATTTCATTAATCATTGTATCCATAAAAGTGTTATGTACTATTTGCTATCAATCAATAAGGTAGTTTCTAGTAGCTCTATCTTAATGATTTCAAGTCAATACACAATAATGGTAAAATAATTATTTTTACACTTCAGTTAGTAATAGCAAGATAATTATGTAACATAACACACACACATATCAGCAGCATATAAGTGGCCACTGCGACCAAAGGCCTCTTTTCATTCGGAGAAGGTTTGAGAATTAGTCCCCACACTTGCTTAGTGCGGGTTGGCAATAATGTTTTTTTTTTACAAATATTAAATAGTAGGGGCGACCCTACATTAGGATTTTCTCCTGTGTCGTGGGTGCGTTTACAAACATACAAGTTCACATACACAATGACACCCAGACCCAAAACAACAATTTGTGGATCCCACAAAGTGTTGTTCTGTGTGGGAGTTGAACCCGCAGCCGGTTGCCTAGCCACCGCACCAACAGTGCAGTCATACATTTATACTATAATATGTAACAAGAAAATGTATTGACATACTTTTTTGTTTTAGTGAATTTGTTCATAACTGTAAGCATGGAATTCTTCAATATACTGTAGTGAGGCCAATCACAACTGTTATATCAATGATCTGTGAATTATGCGGAGTTTATGGAGAGAGTGACTTCAGTCCAAAGGTTGCTTTCCCATACATGATAGCCATCAACAACTTGTCACAGTTTGTTGCCATGTACTGCCTCGTGTTGTTCTACAGAGCCAACAAAACTGAATTAAAACCTATGAAGCCAATTGGCAAATTCTTATGTATCAAAGCTGTGGTGTTCTTCTCTTTCTTGTAAGTTTTTTTGTTATAATATATTATTCAAATTTTCTTTAACTTAAAATTCATGTAATTTAATAATGTATTTTTTATTTCCAGCCAAGGAGTAATAATAAACATATTGGTTTATTGCGACGTGATATCTACAATATTTGATATCTCAGATTCAAATAAGATAAAAATCATGTCTTCTAAGTTGCAGGTCAGTTTTCAATTTAATTTTATGAGAATTATTTATAAGATACAAAACGAAAACTAGTTGCCCTTGAGACCCATCTCCATTGAATTTAAATATTTAGTTCTAATTCTGTTGATACTTGGGGAAACTAGTGCCATTAATTTTAAGAGTTTCATAATTATGTCAAAAGTATTTTATGCAATACTGAATTGATTGTACTTAGATACTAGCTGCATTTGCTTGTAATTGAGTAAAACAATATCGCAGTCAGAGGCCTTAGTACGAGTTTGGTTTACGTTTAAAGTAATCGTAACGAGTACGCGTTCGGCGCTGTGATTGGTTGCTTCATTGGCGCCGGCCAATCAGAGTGCCGAACGCAAACTCGTTTCGAATACTTTAAACGTAAATCAAACTCGTACTAAGGCCTCTGACCTATATGTATTCCAATAAGGTAACACTACGTATTTTCTCTAGAGAGGCAGAGGTGCACTGCACCTATTGAATGTAACACCCAATTTTATGTTAAGAGCCTATTTCATTGGGAGAGTTGACCCTAACTGAAACTATTCCAGGATCTTGAGAATTAAGATTTTTTATAAAAACCTAATTATCGACTAGAAATCGAACTGGGTGGAACCCGCTTTTTTGCTGGCAGTTGTTTTTCCAGTGGCCTCGATTTTATTTGACAAGCTTAATGAAGACAAATCGGTCACGCAATATCCTCTAGGAGAGTTTTTATTGAAGAATATTTATCTTTACAGGACTTTCTGATCTGCATAGAAATGTTCTTAGCAGCAATAGCTCACCACTACAGTTTCTCTTACAAACCATATGTGTCTCCACAAAATCCGTCGCCATCATGCCTCGGATCTTTCCTCGCTATGTGGGATGTGTCTGATGTCAAGAGAGATATATCCGAGCACCTTGGTGTTGTTGGTATGTATTTTATTTATAGGAGAATAGTATTAAACCTTGGAATTTTCCATTTTGTAACTTAAAGACGGTTTAATGTTTTAAACCAACACAAAAACTAATCTTATAGTCTAAGATCCGGCTGCAGAATCAGTGTACCCATCGAGTGTTTGCTGAAAACCAAATTTTTACACATATTCATGATTAGGAGAATTTATATCCACCAGGTTGCCTATCAAAATGTGGCCGCTAGTATTTTTAATTAAATTATTAATAATTCATAATCCGTAAGAAATTTCATTGACTTTTTTTTTCAATGAAATGTCGTCTACTTTACGGCAACATCTATAAAGACTCTGAAAAATTATGGTTGCCGTTGCGCACCTGGCCGCACCTCTTCGCAGCCAGGTATACACAGGTATGAATTTGTTACATTTATACACCCACAACGTACATTTATAATTTATATATCAAATTAAAGCAAATTTTTTTCTGTATATTATTATATACGGTTGCTTAATTAAATCTGGCCGCCAATAAGGGTTGCTGGCTAATAAATATAGTAAATATTAAAAGTAGAGTGAAAGAGAGCTAGCGCGTAACACCACTAGTCAGACGAGGATAGCGATTGCCAGCTGTCGGACGGTTTAAAGCCATTGCGCATGCGTCAGATTTAACATTTTACGTGCCTTATGTATGAACTCCCAAAGTGCCAAAGTGTAAATGCCGCAAGATTTTTATTATTCAACAAAATGTACGCTTCAAAAGGAAGTAGTGAGAAATTTATGAGAAGAATTAAAGGTTTTGACTCAACGCACATTCCACCATGCTGGAAATCTTTAAAGGAAAAATTATTGCGAACCATCTTTGTTAATTCGATGTGGTTAAATGCTACTGAGCGGGATTGCATCAAGTTCAGCGCGGAAAATAATGGCTGGCTGCTGTTAGATGGTTTTTTAAAACCAACATGGTTCCTGGGAGATCCAACTCCAGCGCAAGTTGAGAATGTGCTGTGTGATTCCACGAACAAGCCTTCCGATAATAACGACGATACCGATATTTCTGATGAAAGTGATAGCTGCGATGATAGTGTGACTGAGAGCTCCGATGATTCAGATTTTTAAAAAAGAGTCATGGAAGTATAATACAAATATAATACATTTTAAAAATTTATAATTTGCTTAAACTGATGATTGATGAATATGTAAAATAAATGTAATACTTGAATAAAATTAAATCTTTTTTCATACAGTACTTGTACAACACAATTTTTTTACATAAGTAACCTTGATTTTATTTATCATCAATATTCATTTTTTTTGTAATTTTTAAATTTGTCATTGACTTTTTAATTTTTTATTTTAGAAAAGAAAGACGTTTCTTTTGGAGTATTTATTATTTTGAGTCGTACCTAGTGACTAGTGGTGTTACGCGCTAGCTCTCTTTCACTCTACTTTTAATATTTACTAAATTTATTAGCCAGCAACCCTTATTGGCGGCCAGATTTAATTAAGCAACCGTATATAATAATATACAGAAAAAAAATTGCTTTAATTTGATATATAAATTATAAATGTACGTTGTGGGTGTATAAATGTAACAAATTCATACCTGTGTATACCTGGCTGCGAAGAGGTGCGGCCAGGTGCGCAACGGCAACCATAATTTTTCAGAGTCTTTATAGATGTTGCCGTAAAGTAGACGACATTTCATTGAAAAAAAAAGTCAGTGAAATTTCTTACGGATTATGAATTATTAATAATTTAATTAAAAATACTAGCGGCCACATTTTGATAGGCAACCTGGTGGATATAAATTCTCCTAATCATGAATATGTGTAAAAATTTGGTTTTCAGCAAACACTCGATTGGTACACTGATTCTGCAGCCGGATCTCGTACTATTAACCTGTACAAGATCAACAGGATGTTACTTATCGAGTAACTGAGTATCATGTGTGACTTTCAAGTAATTAATGGTCGTGTGATTATATTATCAACCTTGTTCTGTTTTCTTGTCCTAACAGGGAGCTCCTTCAGTCGAAGACTCCGAGGTAAATCAATGTACCAAATGGCGCGCGGTTATGACGAGAGCTCAAGATTGGTGAGCGAACAAGCAATACCGTCTAGTTCGGCTCCTAATCTCACCGTGGATACAGAACCACCCGACGTAGAAGTGCGTCCGTCCGTCTACGGATCCCTTGATAACACCGTATCAGCTATATCGACGAACTCTGAAACACAACCTTTACTCGACTACGATGAACAAAATCAAAACGATCCGAAAGTATAAAAATGTGATATAAACTTTTTTGCTTTTTATGAAATCGAATATTAGTGGCTTGGTGCTACTTAATGTTAATTCTAACAATAAATATTGCATCACAATACAAGTATCTAAACTAAGATATTTCTAAATTGTACATTCCTTGTTTTACTCAACCAAAGTATGAACATGAACAGTGAACACCCAGAATTGTTATTTTTTCTTAGTATATTTTATGATCTGCAAATGTATCTTATAATAGTAATATAATATGAATAATAATATTAGTATAAATTGTGATATTTACGTTAATCTGACTATAATGTAATTATACGTTAAGTTTTAGAAATAAATATTTGTTTTCTTTATCTGAAAAGTGAAATCCAAAGATCTTTTAGTAGCTGTAGTAAGGTTTGCATGTGAAATCAGCAATAACAATGGTCTGTAATAATGTGACAAGATTGAAAAATCGTAGGAGATAGATACCTATTACCCTATACTGCCCACCATATAATATTTGAAAGTTACATACAATTACATTATTGAAGAGGTCAAAAACTGTGGCACATCACTATAAGAGGTCAAAAACTGTGGCACATCACTATAAGAGGTCAAAAACTGTGGCACATCACTATAACTATTTTTGTAGAAGGTTCAAGGTAGTGTCCATCTACCATCATGTTTCAAGTTTTATAACTTTAACAAGCGCTATTACCACAAATATGTTTGAGTAAAAAAGATAATTTTGTTTTTATCTTCATTTAATCATAGGAATAAGAGAATATTTTAATAAATATTATTGCAAGATAACAGATCACGAAATGCTTTAAATACTTAAAGGATTTTTATTGGAATAATTATATTATTAATCATTACATAATAAACATTGAAATAGTATCATTAATAAAATAAATTGCATTATACATTTTTTAAGTTAACATTTAAACTAAACAATTTGCTCTATTTGGTAGCATAAGAGTAAGACATAGTTAAAACATCACAACATGAATAATATTAACTAAAAATGCGGGTTACTCACGTGAATATTAACGTGAGTGTAACAAAGAAAAGCTCTACTAGTTTCAAGCTACGGAGGGTTCTTCCTCATGAGCAGCGTGCGCGGTAACTCGAAACTAGTAGAGCTTTTCTTAGTATATTTACGTGAGTAACCCGCCACGTTTAGTTCATTTAGTATGTCTCGCGATAGTGATTATAAAAAATGAATAATATTGCGTGATATCTGATAGAAAAATTTACAGAGAAAAGCACTTTGCATACATTCACACTCTAGGCGCAGCGCACAATTTCTGACAATTCCATATAATACTTGCTTGGTTATCTATTATTACTTCATTTACTTATTTTCTAATCAATTATTAAGTAAACAGCCTCATAAGACGCATAAACGCAGATAATGTAGGAATGTTCAAATTCCTTATTACAAAATTACAGTATTTAATAATTATATTATTTAATATGTACTCTTTGATATGCCTTTAGTCAGATTGTATGCAGTAAAGCAACGCTTAATCAGTGGCGATCTTTGATTCAATTCTTGTTCTGCAGAAATTTTCTAAAGCAGTCAATCCAGCCTTCAAGCTGTTCATTTCGATTCTGTGCCATAATGATCCCATTATAAGATAGTAGAAGCAAAGTCCAGTAATGAATAGTTTGATTACATCATAAATTATGCTGTTTGGCCAATAACCAACCGTGCCAATTAGGAACATCAGGATCAAGCCACCAACTGTCAGGTACAGTGTCTTAGATTTTGACAAGTTAGTCATAGCTTCTCCACAAACCTTAATAGCTTGGGTAGCTGTGTCATCGAACGTATCGCCAATGTTAACTTCTTTTTCTACATATTTATTGTCAAGTGGTTTAACAAGTAATTCTAAGGAAACTGCATTGTGATCAGAATACGAGAAGTCTTTGCCAGGCACTCTATCAGGTAATGGGTTGCCAAACTTGATTACTTCAGCCTGAAATAAAAAAAAAAGTGAGTACAAAAACCAATCGTGGCAATGACTTCTATAATGATTAGTAATTTTAAAACTTACCTCCCAAGCAGGGTTAAGTTTATATAAAATATGATCTATCCTCTTTCCCTCTGGACAAATCTTCACTTGATTAGGATCTGAATAGCTATTATTAGCACAGTCACAAGTTCCAAAGGGTTTTGGTTTAGTTGGATCTTCAGCAAAGGGGTCGACCAAAGGTGGTAATTGTGTGACTATCCTGGAAATAAACAAATGTGTAAACAGTTTCCGTACTTTAAATTGTGTCAAGGCCATGGTTTCGATTCCTGGGGCAAGTCGTATTATGTTGGGCAGTTGTGATTGATATATATTATGAATGCCTTAGAGGTCCCTTCATAACATAGCTAGAGAAATTGTGTGTGCACCTCTATGAAAAACTGTTTGATGTCTCTGCATATTTAATTTATGAAGTAGAAGTAGTAAGTATTTTACTTGAAAGATAAATCGCCAGGTCCAGCATTGAGATCCCCAGCTAAAATTGATATGTCGGCGGGTCCAGTTGTTAAGTTAACAAATTCAGCTGTTGAATATGCTTGCAACATCCTGTGAGCCAAATAAATATCGTCTTCATGGTACTCCGCATGGAGCTGAAATTAAAGACATCATGAGCCATTAAACTACAAAAATAAGTTATTAATTGTTTGTTAGTATAATAATAATTAACATGATTCAATAATGAAAGTTAAGATTGATTTTAGGAATAAGAAATAAATCAATTTTTATTTAAGTGGGATAAGATTTACAGTATCTATATATTTTGTTTAGTAATATTAAATGTTGGGGCAATTTCCATGTAGCATCGTAATAGCTGTTCATGGTGTATTATTTTCGTCAGTAACCACATTAGTAATATTTGTATGCAGTGTTTTGTACTCACAGATACAGAGTCGTACATAAATAACAATCTGATAATGCTAATACTAAAATGTTGTATCAGTATCAGATAAAGAATCATGTCACAGTTAAATTTACAATACTTTTTATCTCACACTTAGCCTCATTTTTGAATGATTTTTTTAGAGATGAGAGTTATATTATTACTAGCTGTTGCCTGAGACTTCGTCCGCGTAGAATAATGACTTCTGGCAGAATTTATGCTTTTGAATTAGTGTTTATCAAGGGATATTTTACGGTAATGAATGTCATCAGAATTTATTAAGTACCTAGTATAGGGCTCCTCCCCTGTAAATGATAGCGTGATAATATGTAGCCTATATGTTGACCCGACTTGTTAGTAATATTCATGCAAAATTTGAAGTAAATCTATCCAGTACTTTTAGAGATCATCTCGGACATACATACAGACAAACAGACAAAAATTCTAAAAACCATATTTTTGGCTTCCAATTATATTGTAGATCCATGCTCCAAGTATTTTTTTAAAAAAAATATTCAATGTACAGTTTTGGGATTTCTATGATTTTATTATATGTATAGATATTATGTAGGCGTTGCAGTCAAATTTCTCAACAAACAAACTCAAAGGTTGGTTTTAAAGGGAAATAGGAACTCTTCCTGTATTTCTCTTTCTTGAGTAAGACTAATAACTGCAAAATCAATTAGTGGTTTTGATTAGTGAAGAGTTTTGACTGCAAATGTAGAAGAGAAGATGAAGAAGAGAGATTAGTAATGTGTTAAGTGATATAGGTACTCACTACTCACATGTGTACAATATACATTAATTAGTCTGTTACCATACTTAATACGGCAGAGACCAACTCCTTTACCTCCGAACCAATCTCCATGATGTATCTTGTGAATATAACCATTTAGAGGCCATTGGTGGAAGAAAACATCTTGCATTATCCATTTTGAAAATATACATAGGCCTGACCCAAGTACACCACTGTTAAATAAGGAAATAGGTATATTTAACAATATTTAATACTTGTTTCTGATGATACAATGCACAAGCTTTTAAAAGTAATCAATAAAAATAATAGCTTTTGTTACAGACATCTTAGTTTTATAACTTTAGAACACAGTACAGAATAATTGGATTTCATACCAATATGATTCCAATATCCATAAAAATAAATAACATATTGTTTAGACTGATTTACCTGTAAAAGTAGTGAGAATAAGGGAGGTTGCTTTTTAAACTATCTTTCAAATACAAATAATCCTTTTCACTCCAGACTTCTTGTAGACAGACTATTGTATGAGAACTTTCTTGCAAATATTTGGCTATGGCTTCATAACGCTCGGTACGGTTTTTTGACACTACTGGTATGCCCCTGAAATTGCGACATATTTATTATATTAAGAATAGAGATAAAACAATGCAATATTCCGACAGAGATACACTCTTACCTAAATATAAATTAACAAGCATAATGTTAATATCTGGAACACAATAGTTCCAATTGATAAATAATAGGTAAGTATTCTAATTCATTGAGCTTCGAAGTTGGCCTTGGCCTTGGCGAAAGTACTAACATGGGAACTTTATTGGTTGACAATGAATAAAAATCAATATAAAAGTTATTTGTATTAAAAGACCTTACAAAAAAGTTTACAAGTGGTCAAGTTTACATATATAATACAGAAGTTCTTGTAACAATCAAAATACAGTGAATGTGCTGCACGCACAATAAATTTTTATTGAAGACTAGCACTAACAATATTTTGTGCATAAACATAGACATATTAATTAAAAGATAACTTACCAACAGTTTAAAGTAAAGATATTCAAATGAAATTCCATTGTGTCACTGACTTTACTTGAGAGTTTATGTATGGTTTAGGGAAATTATTTGTACCTGGAGGAAACTAGATTTTTCGAAATATATTTGTTCGAAAAATAAAGTTACAACTTTGCAGAGTTTTCAGTTTACGACTGCATCGGTTTGACCGTTGACGGTGACGGTTTATATATCCCCTATACTTATTATACTCTTTGGTTTATATACGTTGTCACTGTGTCTACTGTCTATCTGTCTTTGTCATCTTTGTCATGATATCTGTGAGTCAAGAGCTGTCAAAGTTATAATCCTGCTGCCTGTCAACGTCATATGATTGAAATGTTACATGATTTAATAAATCTGAGTCGTAATCTTGCTATATGTAAATATTACTTGATAAATTAATTTTGTGGCACTATTTTATTTTAAAAATTAATGGATATTCCATCATACATCAAGCATTTTAATCACTATAACATGGCCAACAAAGGCATTTGGCATCGCCCTTTTTCAATTTAAATTAAAACCAGAACATGTAGAGAAACATTATTTTATTCTCAACTGTTAATTTATTAAGAAATCTCTATTACAATTCAAATAATTTTCACTCCGCAGTATTATCGATTACTAAATGCCAGCATAAATGATTCAATTTGCTAATAACTACAATTAAACCAATATTTATTTAAATGCTTAAGATTACATTTAATTATGAATATCTATATTAAAAAGATAAGCTTAGTATGAATAGGAAACGTTTTTAGTTTTCTTATTAACTAAATGTCAAGAATTTTATTTAATTTACTTTGATAATCACTTTCATGTTTATTGTTTAATGCATTAAAAATAGAGGCGGCTTTCATATTGGTTTTACTCTACTACATAGTAAATATGTAAAAAGAATACCAACTTCTTTTACCTAATGTAAGCAAAAATTGAAAAAATATCTAAAAATAATAATAAACATGAAGGTGTCAGTATACTTACTTCTCTAGTTTTTATAAATTCTTACTAATCAACAAAATACAACATCTATCCGTCTAGAATGCTAGAAGTTATAATCCAAGCAGAGTCTACAGACATAGTGCAAATGACTACATTCACACGATGTCGTCTGTCAATGCTTTATTAATACCATACTAATTTAATAAACTTGGTACACCAGCATCAAAAGATGCGATCAAGAAGATATTTATTAGAATGCAGTAGGGGACCAAGCAATCTCATTCTTATTTTAATAAGATTTCCTTAAAAACTACAAAATAGTTTTAATAAATACTGTTCAGACATGAACATCTACTTCAACCTCTATGTGTTCAGGTTTTACAGACAAATTCACAGGTCTGTTTGAAGTAACAGGTTTTTCAGGAGGGACAGGCAGTCCAGATAATTTGAGAGCTGTTGATATTTTGAAAGTTCCTTCATCTTTCCGAGGCTTCCGCTCCTTGCCAGTTTTTGGTACTACTTCTGGTTTTACTTTATAATGCAATTGCATGTGATAGTTTAACTTAGCCTGAAACATTATAAGATTTTTGTCAGTTTTATAAAATAATTATAGAACTTGTAAAACTACTTCTAAAAAGTAAAAACTAACATCAAATAATCAATATATTCGTTTTTATAATAACTATCGTGAGACGTACTACATTAACTAAAAATCGCGGGTAACTCTAGAGTAGGCTGCGCGACATTGCCGCGACGGCGATTCAAAAATAGTAGAGCTTTTCTCAGTATTTGCACGTGAGTAACCTGGGATTTTTAGTTAATATATTAGTTTAGCATATTTAGATCCAAAAATAGTTTACCTTAGTGGATAGTTGTGCCTCACAAAGTGTGCATTTGTGGTATATTTGCATATGGCTTACTAAAATATGCTGCTTAAGATTACTCTTCCTGGAGTAAAACCTAAAAACCAGTTAAATAAAATTATGTAAAAATCGTAAGAATAAAGAAAAATATAATGAATTATTTTTTAAGAACTGTTATTTTTAATACAGTGTTGTTCTTACCTTGGGCAATTTTCATAGGGACAAGGGAATGTTTTGGTAATTTTTTTCTGGCCATGTGTTTTCAGATGTCTTACTATGTGACCTCTTTCTTTAAATGTTCTCTTACATTCATTACAAACAAACACTGAAATTAAAAAAAAAATTACATGCCATTTCAATTATATTCAATCTTATAAATGTGATTGAAATTATTATTCCTAAAATCTACTAATCTAAATTAGTGATAAATATATTTTCACCTTCGGCGTAGTCTTCGGCCGAAGGTGACTGCCACATGTGACGCTCACCGCCGGGGAGCCGTAAATTAAATTTCGGTTGTAAAACTGTGACATTGCTCTCAAATAATGATTTTAATGATTTAAGTTGTTGAGGAGTTGATGAGTCTAGAACAAAGAAAACCGTAAAAGTCTCTCTCTGCCTTAAATTTATTTTATAACAAAAAGTATTAATTTGTATATAGCGCGGAACTAAAAAGCTGCATAAATAATTTTCAACTTAATAAAAATCAGTAGCCACTGTTATACTACATGTACAAAAGCAAATACTTGTATTCTCACCGGATCTACATGACAATTACTGTAAAGGTCAATGGTTGAATGTCTAAGGTATATATCAGCATATGAATGGATATAGTTTTTACTTTCCAGGGGAAGTAAACCTTAACTCGTCGAGTACCATCATTATAGACACAATTATAGAACAATAGGTCGCGGTCACCAGTGACCGCTTGGTGTTTGACAGTTTAATTGCCCTAGTTTAATGGTTTTCGAATTCCTCCTTGTTTATATACACATTAACTGTAGTGAAATGTGAGAATACTGTACCTTGGTTCCTCTTTCAAGAAAAAAAACATAAATATTAAACTGGACATTATTTTTAAGTAAATGAATGAATACTCACAACTCTGAACATGTTTAGATTTTTTGTGTTTCTGATATTTTGACCAGTGATTAAAAACTAAATCACAATCTTCACATTTGTAAGTTTTGTGATATCTCATGTGTCTCTTCTTTAGGTAAAGACTAACAAATGTATCTGTGCAAATATCGCATCTGAAAATAGCACCAAGAAATTCAAGTAATTGATAAATTTTGGCGAAATTAATACATTTAAACATTATTTTAAAGTTACTTACTTGAAAGCTTTTATACCCGTGTGTTGATACATATGGGCTGTAAGTTGATTTTTCTTTTTGTAGGTCATTTTACACAGATCACATGTAAACTGAACAGCGTGGACAGTATTAATATGTCTTTTGAGATTCTGACGGTTTGCAAATGGTTTCATGCATTGTGAACAGCTGAAACAGAATACATTACACTATTATTTTAGTTATATAGGTAATAATATCCACAATGCGGTGACAGCATACATACATATCCTCATGCCTGTCTCTCATAGGGGTAGGCAGAGACTATGGAACGCTAATTGCTATGATTCTTATATATCTCTTTCACTTCATCAACATCATCAGTCTTTTCATGCATGCTCATGGGTTAGGGGACTTTTAATTTGGCTCTTATTTAATATGGTGATATTTAATATAATTCTTTAATATGGCGACAGTATATTACTCCTTAACTTTTCCCATAGGTTTAAGCAATGGACTACATATTTGGCATAAGCCTATGTGGCTCCTTGGCTAGACTATTCCGCAGTGGATTGTCACAAGCCATTCACAATGATGATCCAATAGGATTCAAATAGTTATAAGTAAATTAAAGTTTGACTTTACCTGTAAACTACATCCTTTTCTTGAGGCAAGTGCACAGAATTCATGTGGCGATCCAAGTGACTCTTGTTTGTGTATGCTTTGTTGCAATTAGGCTGATTGCAAGGAAATGGTCTCTGAAATAACCAGACCGAAATTAATTTATTGTGTCACCAACGTGTTTATAACCAATTTGGTATCTTCATGAAACTTACTATGTTATTGTGAGCCAGAAAGTGCTGTGCTAATCTATAGGGTCTATCAAAATATGATGCGCAGCCTGCATACGAACAATAATACAATTTTTTTTGTTGCTCTTCTTCCATTTCGTCATTGAAATCGTATTTGCAATACTTTTGAAACATTTGTAGTGGTAATTTAATTATCTGAAGCCTTTCAACTACAAAGTTATCGATTTAATATTGTACGACATAACTTAACCGATGAACCGTTGCTTCTTATCTTATACTCTATTATTCTACCAATATTAATAACACTGTGTTCATTAATTAGTAATTTTAAAACCTTTGAAGAAAATCAAATGCAAAATAATCCAAAATCTAATAAGTACGAGTAAAGCAAACCCATATCCATAACTAAACCAAATCAATCAATCAAGCGATTAATGAAGTTTATCCGTCGCTGTCAGTGTCATGTCACATAAACGTCAAAGTATGTAGTTTTTTCAGTTTATTGAGCTTACTGTAAGCTGACTATTTAAAAAATAATATTTATATTTAAATAACAATAACTTTGATTAAAAAAATTAATTTAAATGTGAAATATTATCTTTATTTGAAAGTTTACATTTTAGTAACAGTCGTTAGAGTGAAAAGACTATGAAGGACACCTCTATTCATACACGATTTTGCGAAAAATTTGACATATTGCAATTGGTGCAACTCTAAATCATTCTATTTTGTCCCGTATTCAACAAATAATGCGACGTAATCTTCGCTATAATATAATAACAATTATGACTTTACTTGAAATTGTTTAAATAATTCATGTGGCTGAAGTGTATTTTGTTGTTAGCTATTACAAATTCAATCGTATTTACAGTGCATCAGTCAAGTCAGCTGACGTACGTAAACAAAGGGCATGTCAATATTTTGTGAAGTGGTGAAACACCTTCAAAGTGATTTGTGATCCAATCTGATTATATTTATTCTTATAAAATGGATATTGACGGTTCTTCAGTTGGAGAGATTGATCAAAATTTATTACTACAATTCAGTTGTATGAACACAACAGACAGAGATGAACTTATTAATCAAATGCAGAGACTCTTGGGTCCTAGTATAAATTATAACACAGCCAGCTTCTTCTTGGATATGAGTAATTGGTAATATTGTGTTAAATTTTACAATCACTTTATAAAAGTGAGCCTTTATGTCTATGAATCTAAACAAATTTATTTTTTTGCAGGAACTTACAAACAGCAATATGTTGTTATTTAGATTATACATTACCACCTAAATTTCCATCCATGTCACTTAAGGCTGCACAAACTCAAGAGGCTGCTGTAGGACCTGGTGCATGGTAAGAAAACAATGGATAGCTACTTTGACAATAACATTAACATAAAGAAATGTATCAGTTAATAGTCATTGCTTATTAGGTCAAGCAATGACTCATTTCTGTAAACAATAATATTATTCTCATTCACAAACCTTTTGATGTTTAGGCTTAATTTATATTAAATAAGCTTGTATTTTTTAGTTTTGAACAAAGTTGGAACATTGCTAATACTGGTGCGGAAGGGTGGCCAGGCAGCTGTAGGCTGATTCAAGGCGGAGGTGAACCACTAGGTGCTACACCTGTCTATGTTCCACCTTTACCTGCAGGACATTCCACTACAGTTACATTAAAGTTAGTAGCGCCAACTACACCAGGCATTCACAGAGGATATTTCCATTTGGTGACTGACAAAGGAGATCAAATAGGAGGTAAGTGTAGTTGAAAGCAAGGTTGATAAGAAAATGAAATAATTATTTGTGTAATTCACAAATTGTTGTTCCGTAATAGGTGTGATGTGCACATGAAAGTTAAATTATAAATGTATCGATGATTCAGAGGAAATCCCAGGATGATGCATTAAATTCAAAGTAAATAAGAGGTTAAGTACTTACTTTGTAACTTGTGAGTTCGCTAGTCGCTCAAAGCAATCTTGAGTTTTTCTCTTAAAAATCTTAAAGTGGTGATATAAAACTTAAGAAATTTCATGTGTGTTTTATTGAAATATTATATTGAAATTGCAGATATTAATTTTTCTTTGTTTTTAGATACATTGTGGGTGGAAATTACTGTGGAATCAGAGATTACAATGGCACTTGTTGAACAACTGGCTGCTTTACCCGTCCCAAGTAGTAATGGTCAGGTATGTTTCAATCACTGTACAAGAAAAAATATACTATATATGTAAAGACTTTGCATCTGACTTTGTGAAAGGACATTTGGTTAAAACTTATTAAACAAAGATTGCCTATTTTAACTAGTACCTAGTACAAGTGACCCCTCATTACTGTAAGCTTCATGACTCCAGGTCAGGGTCAGGGTAGTAAAAATACTGTTACGATTTAGTCTGGATAGTATCTATAACAACAAAAGTATGTGACTAGCTTATATTAGTAAAAAATATTATTCGGGAAAAAATAATAAAATATTGGATATTTTACTACATTCTTGTTCAGTTGAATAACTTTCTGGAATGTTTTTAAAAGTGTGATGTCATTTTATTTATTTGATTTTGACTTATCATTGTTTTTTTTCTAGATGCCACCTCAAGATGATCAGATGTGTTGATGAAGGGCAGTTACAAGATGTTTTGTAAAATTTTCATTAACTAACATGGATTATGTTATACCTATTTATTAAGCAGTTAATGGGCTGTTGCATGTCATTGCTTTCCTTCTTAAGATTATTAAGAATTAGCCAAAGAATAATCACAACACTATTCTTATTTTTTCAGTTTTCGGATTACTATTGTATAAATGTACTTACATTATATTTATTATAAATAAACATGGCTGCTGCAATCAATTGAATTTAGTTAAAATCTGAAGTTTTGGACTGGTTACATTCTGTGTAAATGTTTTAAATTGAAGAAAACTTTATGTAAGACAAAAAGTTTCCTTGAATTTGTATATAATTTGTTTACAATAATACACAACTTTGCTTTTTTTTCGAGAACACTTTGTTAATTTCAGTTGCTTTCAGCAATCCATTGCATGTAAAAACTTTGCTATAAAAATTTAAGACTCCTAAAGGAAGGAAAATAATGTACAAACCATACATTATACACATGATGTTGATTAGCTGTAAGACAACAAATTAAGAATTTGTTAGATATTGTTGAATTTTACAAAATGTAATGATTTTATTAGGATTAATTATAATTATTTTTAGATTGCATTGCCATGAATGTAATTACTATGGGGAATTAATTTTATAGTATAAATAAGCAAGTATAATATTAAATAATATAACTGCTTGTTTTTTAATGCTCGACTCATTTTCATACCCATGCTAGTGACAATATACTTCATTATAATAATAGGCTATTGTCAATGATTGAATTTTTTTGTTACAATAAAGTATGAACTTTCATCTTGTAAGCTATTTTAAAACTCCTATATTATTTCTAAACGATGCAGTCTGTACATCACAATTCCTAAAAGAATATAAACTAATTCGATTAAGTATCACACGAACAAGAACAGGCAGACTGCATTATTTTGGTGCAGGTGTGTTTTTATTTTAACTATGAAGTACACCAATATCTATAGGAAATTTGGGATTTTTTGAAGATAAACATACATAATTACAGCATAAGAAAACACAAGTTAGAAGTAGATGTGCAATAATTTATGAAAATCTTGTTTCAAATAAAGCTTTTGTATATAATCTGATCCTTTAATTTAAATAATTGTAAGAGTTGAGTTTTTGATTGCTTGGATGAAAATAATTTAATGAAATCAAAAACAGATGAATTTCTTAATTTTAATCTTAATTTCGAATTCATACAATTATTATCTACAGGTGCTACATAAACACATATTATTATCAATTTACAAACTTTGCTTCATAGTTAGTTGTTCCAGTAAACAATAAGTTCAACCAATAAGCAATAATCATGAAATACCTAATTTTTTCATTATTATTTCCTTTAAAAAATTACACAGCATTTCACAGGAAAATATAATCAGGAAAGAAGACAATTATTGCCATAAGCAAGTAGCAATACTGATTTTAAATTTTTACTTGCCATTTTGCAATAATACTTCTTAGAACCAAAACTATATTAATTGGCTTCTTAAAAAATGTTTCTTATTTATATTAAGACAATATCTATAACTAGGACCAAGTGCATTACTTACTACATATTTTGTAAAATATTCTAAACAGCCATTTCCATATCTATTTTAGGCTGTGGCTTGTATCCTTTGATGATGAAGTCTTCATATTTGAAATCATCAATAGAATTGATTTGGCGGGCAAACTCTAATGTGGGAAATTCTGTAGGAGTTCTTTGTAGCTGTACCTTCAAGGGTTCTATATGATTCAAGTATACATGGGTGTCTCCTGTTGTGTGAATAAATTCACCAGCCTGGTCACAAAGAAAATGTGTTACTTAGTTTTAGTTAGTTTATATTACTAAAAAAAAAGAAGCAACAAAATATATCATGATTGTTACCTCCAATCCTGTGATATGTGCAATCATGTGTGTGAGGATAGAATAACTGGCAATATTGAATGGAACTCCCAGACCCATATCTGCACTCCTTTGGTACAGCAAACAAGATAGTTTGCCATTTGATACATGGAACTGAGCGAGGCAATGACATGGAGGCAAAGCCATTTTGCTTAAATCTGATGGATTCCATGCACATATCAGCATTCGTCGATCTGCAGGGCGATTCCTAAAATAATGAAACAAAATATTTATGACACAATCAATTAATTACATGCCTTATGTTTAGTTCTCATAGTGTATTGTATTTGATCAAGCTTACTTAATTGTCTCAATAACATTCTTCAATTGATCAACTCCTTGACCTGTGTAGTCAGTTTTACAATCAACATAATCAGCTCCACTATGTCTCCATTGGAAACCATAAATTGGGCCCAGGTCACCTATAAAATAATTTAAATTTATAAGTAATTTTATTTATAATTTTGATCCAGATTAAAAGTTATTTTTAAATAGGGTCTATGAATAAATTGGTTTCAAAAGTTTTAATCAGAATAGCATTCATACCTTCCTCTCTATCTGTAAATCCCAAGTTGTCTAGAAATTGTCGCGATCCATTAGGATCCCAGATGTGCACACCCTTGGAAGAAAGTACTTTAGCATCAGTTGAGCCAGATATCATCCAGAGTAACTCTTCAATAACACCTCTGGTAAATACTCGTTTAGTAGTAAGTAAAGGCAGGGTGTTATTCTTGAGGGAATACCTTTGCATAGCCCCGAAAATAGATAGAGTTCCGACGCCTGTCCTGTCGACTCTCTTGTCACCTGCATCAAAGTTTAAGTAATTTTGTAACTACTGAATGCAGTGAAATCATGATTGCTATTATTAGCATGTAGGTACTCATCGCCTGCATTCATTAGGTAGTTAATAAAAAGGTTAATTCAAGAAATAATTAGCGTGAAAACAAACCTGTTTGGATTATCTTTTGTACCAATCTCAAATACTGATATTCGTCATGTTCTGCAAGAAGATTGTTTAGGATACCCATACTGAATGATTATTATAGGATTAAGCACTTTTATTTAATATCTAAACTTTAATATCTTATAAAATGAAACTCAAAAAGGTAAACCGGTAAACGGTAGTAAACGTCATAAGAACTAAAAAGAGCGGGAAAACGGGGAATGCTTTTATACACGACGATGACATTGACAGATAGACTTGTTCGTTCTCATTTCGTCCAGTAATAGATAGAATAAATTATTTATTTAGTTTTAGAATAGAAAATAATGCAGGCTTGTTAAATCTTTGTTTATTACAATTATTTTCAGTAAAACAAACAATAATAAAAAAATAGTAAGTTAACGTCTAGAACCTGGGCCTACAATATTCCAAATACATAGAGCAAATTATTATTTATTTTGTAGGATATTTGTAGGCTTATTTTGCAGTCAGTGTGGTCCCTATACTTAATTATACTCTATGGTATGGTCCAACTCGGATTCCAGCCGTAAGGCAGGAGCACAAGAGAATTATTATTATCTGATACCTACGTCTTTGGGCAGGAGTCTCAACATTCTCAACATTGATAATGTTAAATATTGGTCGTAAAGTCGCGAATGTTTTCAATAGAATTTTAATTTCTCTGGTGTTGGTGGTGTTCATTGGCGACGCTGATTGCTTACCATCAGGAGCCATCAGGTGACTAGAGACCTAGAGACCCGCAAAGAGTATAATAAGTATAGGGGATAGTCACGGAATATAGAATACAATGGAAGTAGCAAGTAGGCGTGTCACGCGTGCCACAACTGAGCAGTGTACAGCTTACTCGAGGCAAATTCGAGTTCA